ATGGTAAAAAATTGCAGCATGCTGCTGTGCAGAGGGACTTGAGTGCCCTCGTGCATGAATCGCTAAAAGTAGGATTGCAGGTGCAGGAGGTAATGAAAAAGGCAAATGGAATTTTGATGAAAATGATAGAAAATCAAAAGTCAGAAGCAGTGTCGTTGAGAAAAGATACAAGAGTCTGAAGTACCTTTTCTGGTGGTCGAGTGGTTAGCATTTGGCGCTTTCACTGCCGTAGGCTGAGTTCCGTTTTCGGTCAGGGAATGGGAGTTCTATTCTGCTCGTTTGTTGTGATGACTGATTTTCAGGAGCAGGAAAGAAGCTGTGGAGCCTGTAGATGGACTGTTTTGTCCCAGAAATTATTCAAGTTAACAGAAGTCAAACAACTGAAAGTCTGACAGAGAAACAGGAATTGACCGAGAAACTCAGCAGGCCTGGCAGCATCTGTGGAGAGAAAGAGAGGTAACCTTTCAGGTCCACAGATCGTTAATTGGAACTAGGTTAGTTATGCATTTTAATAATATAATATTAGGCGAAGTTATCAGCTTTATCTGTCAAATCGGCATATTTATCAAAATTTCTCTCTCTGATTAGCCGACAATTGTTAATTGTTACAGTTCACAAAACAGCCAATCGGGTTAAGCTCAGGCAACTGGAGTGGGAGCAGAGGACTAATAATGCATTGAGTATAAACGTAAGAAGCAAGCCACCTCCACCTTCAGGAATCAAGCAACTAGCGCTATTTGCGAGACGTTTAGACAAGATACCCTCAATTTAAACCGTAGGCACCAGTGGGACTACGAATCACAGATCTCCTGTTTATTAGAGAGGCGCTTTCACCAACTAAGCCACAACACCACACAGGCTGATTCTGTCCCCATCCATATGTTCATGTACTTAAAAACCCGATCACAGAAACTTGATGCTTTTTTTTCTATCTCAATGTTATTCAGTGAGAATTTAAGTCAAACACCGCTTTTGTAAAGATGGACAGTTCACAGCTGAACATTTCCAGTGAAAATGCACAGAACGAGACAATCTCCTTTTACACTGCTTTAAAACCGATATTTTCACAATTTAAACTGGCGAGACAAAGAGGATGTGTTCATCCTCTCTGTACCCATTAACCACGTTAATACACACAGGCGAAACCTCGCAAACTGCATTCAATTCTATTCTCTCTGCTCGAGGAAAGATGAAAAGGTTTAGAAAAGGTTTATGAAGAAGTTGCCAGGGTTGGAGCAGTTGAGCTGGAGGGAGAGGCTGAATAAACGAGGGCTATTTACACTGCAGTGTTGGAGGCTGAGGGGTGACCTTATAGAAGTTAATAAAATCATGAGGGGTAGTGATAGGGTCTTTTTCCCAGGGTAGGGGAGTCCAAACTTGAGGTTACAGGTTTAAGGTTTGAGGGTAAAGATTTTAAAGGGACGTAGGGTGTAATGTTTTGACACGCAGGATAGTGTGTGTATGGAATGAACTGACACAGGAAATGGTGGAGGCTGGTATAAATACAACATTTAAAAGGCATCTGTATGGATCCATGTATAGGAAGGGTTTAGCGGGATATGGGCCAAATGTTGGCAAACAGGACTGGATTAATTTTGGATATCTGGTCGGCATGGACGAGTTGAAGCAAAGGCTCTGTTTCTGTGCTGAATATCTCTAGGACTCTATAATTGCTTTCAGTGTAGAAACGGTTCACTCAAACATCCTACCTGCTACACACCAGCGACATCACACTTAGGAGAGGTCGATCAAATGCTCCAAGTGTTGGAAGAGATCTAGTCAGTCTTCCCGTCTGCTCTCACACCAGCGAATTCACATGGTAGAGAAACCATGCATTTGTTCTGAGTGTGCGAAAGGATTCAATCAATCATCCCAGTTGCTGAGACATCTTGGCAGCCACACAGATGATAAATATTTTAGTGGCCTTGACTGTAGTTGTTCATTTTTATCAAATATTATGTACACGTTCTTTGGTGACTGGACAACTGATAACAAGACACTTACAGACACAGAGTGGAGTCAGGAACTACACACCCGTAATGTTGAACTCTGTAAATACATCTGTGCCAAGTAAAGAATGGTTTACTATTTTTCCTTCACTATAAAGCCCTTTTTTTTACGAAGGTGATAAATTTCAGAGAAAAATATTTCCATAACTGTTCAAAGAGGCAAAAGATGCATTAGGGGTAGGATGTGGAATGTGGAATGTGGCTAGTTTAGATCTGGTAATGTGTGATGTGGCAGGTTTAATGAATCAAGTTAAAAGATCTCCTAGAGAATAGTGCCCATCAAATAGTGTACTTCAGAGTATGGTGGGTGGGTTGTGGGGGATGGGTATTTCAACTTGAAAAATACCCATTCATCCCGATTCTGTGTCTTCGGTTAGTTAAACAAAAGGAAATCCATGCTCATTTATTACCCAACACTGTGAACTCTGACCTTGTGCTATGACCTTTTATATGACCCTTTTTTGAGTGCTATGGAAAATTTTTCAAGTACACTTCATCTCCGGGCTCCCTTTATGCACTCTGCTTTTAATATTAGCAAACAACTCTTGGAAAATTGTCAAGTGCAGATTTCCTTTCAGCAAACGATGTTGACTCAGTTTGACTGCGGTCATCGTTGGTGAAGGTTCGGCAATTTCTTCCTTTACATTGTTCCCTCGCATTTTTCAAATGACAGATAAGCAATTGGAGTAGATGGAAGCCATTTGGCCAATCAGGTCAGCTCTACCTTTTAATGAGGTCATGGCTGATTTGGTAATCCTCAACACCACTGTTCTGCCTTATCCACGTGGCCCTTGACTCCTGAAATGACTAAATGTCTGTCTGTCTCAGCCTTGAATATACCGAGCCGTGAAAGCCTCTGTTTTCAAGAATTCCACAGATTTGCTTCTCCCTGAGCGTGAGAACATCCACCTTATCTCTGATTTCAATGGGCAACTCGTTTCCCTGAGATAACGCACCCGGGTTTCAATCAGAGCACAACAAGCCTCCAAAGTTAGATGTGAACTCATTGGCGTCTCCAGCGCCAGTTGTAAGTATTTAAAACATTTTGTTTTTTGACCTCTCGTTAAAGCAACTGCCCTGATTTGCACGTTAGATTTGCCAAACAGGAACCTGCTCCAAACGTACTTCATTGGCAGTGATTTAGGTGGTGGTGAAAGGCGCGATAAAAATACGAGGACACAATTCTTTCTCGATCCATTGGCCTGATAATTAATCTCTTCGCTCATGGAAATGGATCCTTTCCATCCACTCTATCTCTCATCAATGTGTTTAGTTCAATTCAATCCCACAACAGCCTACTTCATTCTGATCAAGTACAGGGTGACAGTAAATTTTTGGGTCGTGGTCCAGACATCACAAATCGAATACTCGCCTTTCCTGTTAGAACCGTTTCATGAGACATATTAAACGCTAATGTGTGGCGTGTAGTCGTGGCCGAGTGGTTAGGGCGATGGATTTGAAGTCTATTGGGGTTTCCCCGCGCAGGTTCGAATTCTGTCGAAACAAACTCATGTTTTCTCAGGTCTGGTCGTTCGTTGACATTCAGGGAAGACGCGTTCTGAACAAGAATCCAGCCGCATTCAAAACCTTTGCTCTGCTTCTCTTTCCACCAATACAGCTGGACCTGTTGAGTTTCTGCAGTATTCTGTGTGTTTATTCTGCATAACTGCCGCTTTTTATGAAATATCTTCAATCCCAGTCCTCTGGCAACTGACCCTTGTCGTTGGCACAGTTTCTCCCGACGATCAACCGGCCCATCCTCACTCCCACTCAACCTCAAAATTACATAGAGCCCCAGGAAATCTCCGGTTTTGCTCCAAAGAGAACATTCCCGGCCTCGGGATTCTGTCCACCAAACGGGACTTCCTCATCCTCTGGACATGGTGCAAGAGATTTTGGGAAAATATTGTCGGTTGGTGGGGAGAAAATATTAAGGAAGCAAAACAGAAAACCCAGACTTCAGCTTTGTGAATCTTTAGAAACATTTTGGGAACTGGAATCACAGGAGAATGAAGAGTGAATTTTCCGACTGAGCACAAACAGTCCAGACACCTGCCACTTCTTTAAGAGGCCGGGACATTGACTCGGCTGTTATCGGGACATGAACTGATCTGAGACATTGAAAGAATTCTCGTTCCTGCACATCAGGAATTCAAATCTCATCTCGGCTCCGGGACAATTAGAAAACTCGGAAATGGACAAGACACTGAAAGGGTCGAAGGGAGACGGGCCCGGTTGTAGAAGAGCTGGTTCCCAGTGATATGGATGGGTGTGCAGAGGGTAGGATCAGACTGATCCCATGTCTCCTCAATGAATGTCCCAGGTTTTATTTTGGAAAAGTACAGCTGATACAAGACAATTATCATTCCAAGCGAGGCAGCTGGAAGTTTGAATTCACTAAGAGCCCGCTTTAAGTGCTGCTGCAAGAGCTCGCCATTTTCTCTGGTGCAATTGGCTGTCGCTCGCGACTATGAAATGTGAAGTTGGCGGTTTGAGGCCACTGAGGAAGGAACAAGTGCTGTTCTCACTCTACCAGTTCCCTTTTGACTATACAGTTACAGGTTTTAATGCAGTCAGGAAAATATTCCCCAAACGTAAATCTTGTCCGGTGAGTGACCACAAAGGTATTTCGATGTTGCTTTAATAGCTACCATAAAGAGCTGAGAATGCTTGGAATCTGAAACAAAAACAGAAACTGCACTACAGAAAGGAGAAAACAGAGTTCTGAAGAAGTTCTGAAACGTTGACTCAAATTCTCTGCCCACAGATGCTCCCAGATCTGCTGAGACTTTCCTGCAATTTATATTTTCGCTTGTAAGTTTATTTTATCTATTTGGATGAAACAACTAGAGTCACCATGTACCAAATTTAACACTTTAGAAATCTGCGAAGTGATTGGATTCAAACAAACCCAGCAACAATTCATCCATCCACAGCGTGACTGGGCACGGAAAGCGACCTGAAAAGATAAACGGCATTATCTCACTCCCAGTAGTCGTGGCTGAGTGGTTAAGGCCGTGGACTTGAAATCCATTGGGGTACTCCTACGCAGGTTCGAATCCTGTTGACTGTGGGTGAAAACAAATGCAAAGGCTGGTTGCAACAGGGGTCAAAGCAGGAAGAGCTAAACTTTCCACTTAGATTGCCACTGGTGGGAAAAGGTAACTCACTGCCTGTCATGGTAGAACAAGCACACACTTTCATAAAAGTGAACGTGTTTTAGGATATACACTTGCAGGGGCAACCATGGTGAGGCTGTGAGCTATGTGCTGGAACTCCAAACTAAACTTTCTCGTGGTGTTGAATGCTTGATCTGCAGCAACGAAAATCTTTTCAAGGTCTCACCGAGAACCGCAAAGGGGAGAGGCAGCTGAAATAGTCCACAAGCTGCTCGTGTGCACGTGTCAATTTTCCAACCCCACCGACCGAATCACTGCAGTTGCTGAGAATGAAAAAAAAACAAAAACCCAGTCTCAGCATTATGAACTTTTAGAAGGGAGGGGAGAATGAAGCGTGAAACTGTCTCACTGAGCAAAGACAGTCAAGGCACTTGCCCTTCTTGAAGAGGCTCGGACATTGACTCTGATGTTCTCGGGGACATTTGTTGCTGTGGGTGCAAGTATTCTTTGTATTTTTCTCCTATAAGGATCGCTCATATATCAGCCATGTGTCAGCTCTCTGACACCTCCTCCTACCGTCCCTTTGATCATAACCCCACCCCGACCACCAAAACATCATCTCCCAGACCATCCATAACCTCATTTATTTCTGAAGAAGGGTCTAGGCCCGAAACGTCAGCCTTCCTGCTCCTCTGATGCTGCTTGGCCTGCTGTGTTATCTTGGATTATTTATTACTTTGGTTAGACTATCAGCATGCGATTCTTATACCTATCACATTATTCCAGTCATTTGGCTTGTGCCAAGCACAACCTTATTTTTAGTTCGTTTTTGTAATTATCTCTCTGCCTCATTTAATCGGATTAAAGGTCATCCCTTCGCCTGTTATTCAGCTTTGACACTTTACGCACACCGTTTAACACTTTAGATCACCTGCAGAGACTTATTATTGGACACACCACTCAAACCATTTGTACAATCTTTTGATCTCCCCGTCCTTGATCTCTCTGCCCATAAAATCTGGCAACAAGGATTGGAGAGAGCGTGGTCAAAGCCTGCTGCTTGTCCCTGTCTCACTCCGTGTGGAGCTGGGGAAGAGGGAATCATTGATGGATGTGTTTTGAATCCAATCTTGTTGTAGCTTTTTCATGGGTTAAATGCAGGTAGGTGGTCACTCAAATTGCTTGATCCAAAATAACTAAAGTTGTGCGCCTGGATGGTCTCAAACAACCGACTTTTCAGTTTACCAACTAATGCCGACCAGTTGAACCATAAAAACTGTCATCAACAAGCCATGCAAAATCTCCAAAAGCAGGGTGTTAGCAGAGATCTGAACGGCCGTTGTGAAGCTAGAGCTCTCGTTGTTTTCGGAGTCTGTTGCCAATTTTCGCACTTTCATCACCGAGAGTATCAGAGACCCAAGGAGCCACAATCACCCAGAAGAAATGTAAACATTGCAAACTTGAAGTTGCCCAGCTCCTTTGATGTGACTGCTTGAGGTAGATCACTCATGACTTTGGTTACCGGTAGGATTCAAACCCATGACTCGATAGAGACTAGAGCATAAATGCAGCGCTTTTGACTGCTCAGTCAAACTATCTCAAACAATTACTGCATCAGGCTATAGAATCCCTTTCATATAGCTTCTTCATCAGATCCTCCTTGTCGATCTTGTCCAAAATCTTAAAGTTGTATTTCATGGTCCATTTTCCCTCGACAACTGTGAACTTATTGCTTTTATTTACCTTACCTAAACCAATTATGAGCCCATAAGTCCTGTCAAATCTTCCTTCAACTCCAGTTGGTCCATCGCATCACAAATCCCTCAGTCCTGAAACTTTCTGGTTTATGAATGAATCTATCTCCTCTGAGGATCCTCCCCTCCTTCACAATGTATGATAATCTCTGTTCTGAGTATACCTGGTCATCCTCGGCCAGGAGGAGGGATGTTGTGAATTCCTGAAATAAAAGAGAGGCGCTGGAGCACCCAGTAGGACTGGCAACCTCAAGGGAGAGAGAAATAGTGTTCATGTTTAGAACCAGTTCTTATACTTTTATCTCTGCACTGATTGTGATGGATTTTTGAAGCTTCTTTCACTGAGGCTTGTAAGGATGGACATACATATAAAATATTAAATCAAACAAAGGGAATAATTTGTATGTCTGATTTCTAACCTGGACTGACACTGTCTTTACTAAACTTCTTTTACAAAATATATAAAAAAGATTCACAGACAGGAAACTTTAAACAAACATCAAATCAAAATTTGGCATGATCAATCGATTCATCAGAAACTGGATATTATTGGCCTTTTGAGTGTAAGTATTGAGGTCCCTGTCATTACCACTCACTGCATGTAATTTTTCCACTATAACCTCCATGTTGATCTAAAACTGACATTTGTACCCCATGATCCATTTCTTTTCAGTTAATGTGAACCCCTTGTTTTATCGACATTGTCTAAACCAACAGTAAACAGTACGGGTCTGTCAAATCTCCCTTCAGCTTCAGTTAATCCCTGACAGTATAAATCTTTCAATTTTTAACCTTTCTGGCAAAGGAACAGGTCTGCTTCCACTCAGCGACCCTCCATCCTTCCCAATGTGTGGGTGATCTCTGGTTTGCACAAACCTAGATGCTCTGTGTTCCCGTGTGTATGTCATCATGCAGCAACAGTAGCACAGTGACATCACCTGTTCCTTAGGGATTTCCTCAAGTGTGAGATTTTTCTCTAACTCCAGTACTTCTGATATCTTTCCAGCTGCAGGTGCAACAGGAAAATTTCAAATTGACAACAGTGACGTGGTTGAGTATTTCTGACCATTCGTCAACAATGTTGAGTTTTAGTGTTGTGCCTGTTACCTGTGAGAGGTTCTGTAGCTCTCGGGCTGGTGTGCCTCCTTTAGTATGGATCTGAATCCATTTCAGTACATTGCTCTGTTTCACTTCTGCCTTCCCTCGGTCTCTAAGAATGTGTGAGTACCTGTCTGTTTAATGCTTCTTTTACTCTATCAGATTATGTCTAGATGAGATTTCCACCACATTTCTTTGATCAAACCCTATGGATTTCGAAGCTTTGTCTTCCCACAGTATGTTTTGTAGTCAGGAATTATTCTTAATGCAGTCCTTTTCTGTTCTGTTTCTGAGCTTATATTACCCAACAAGTTCTGCAGCATGTCATTCACTCACCATATCCTGATACATTAACTTTGGATCACTCTCCACAGGTATCAGTAACTATTACCAATCCTCAGTTAGCTCTGGAGAATTTGATGTTTGACCTTCCTGAACCGTTGCAGGCCATGTGGCGAAACTGCACTTGCAATGCTATTAGGTAAGGAGTTACAAAAGATTGTGAAGGATTAGTGGTGTTTTCCAAATGAACAATTTAAATATTTCACATTTTGATTCTATCCAATGATCTGACATGTTACACAAGGTTGTCATAAAACAATATTTGATACCAGGCACTTCTGGACATATTAGAGCAAGTAACCAAAAACTGGCCAAAGAAGTAGGTTTTAAGGAATATCCTGAACAAACAAAGGGACTTTGAAAATCAGGGATGTTTAGGGAGTAAATTCAAGAGCTTATGGCCTTGGAAACTGAAAGCATGAAAAAGGTGGTAGAGTTAAAACCAGGAATCCACAGGAGGTTGGAAGTCAGGGAGAACAAATATCTCGAAGGAAAAACCAAAAGAACTGTAGATGCTTGAAAGTAGTAGCATAAACAGAAATTAGAAAATAAGAACTAGGAGCAGGAGTAGGCCATCTGGCCCCTCGATCCTGCCCCGCCATTTAATGAGATCATGGCTGATCTTTGAGACTCAGCTGCACTTACCCGCCCACTCACCATAACCCTTAATTCCTTTACTGTTGATTGATGTAATACTCAGCATATCTGGCGGTACCTGCGGAGAGAAAGCAGAATTATTGTTTTGGGTCCAGTGACCCTTTTTCAGATATATCTCAGAGGGTTTTGAGGATGGAGGGACTATCAAAAGAAGGAGGTGTGATGACAAAATTTCAAAATAAGGATATGAATTTCAATATCTTGGTGCTTTGCCACCGAGAAAATGTGTATGTTAGTGAGCACAGGATGGCAAAACACGAAGATATTGAAATGGGTGAGAGTAAGCAACTGGGCAGCAGATTTTTGGATCACCTCTAGATTACGGGGAAGTGGAATTAAGAAGCCGGCCGGGAGTGTGTTTGGGAAGTTAAGTCGAGAGGTAACAAAGGAATAGATGAGAGTTTCAGCAGCAGATGAACTGAGATGCTACGGAAGTTGAAATGGTATGTGGTCTTTGTGATGATGGGTGTGGGGGTGAGTAATGTGGTTGGATGCTCACCTTGGGGTGAAATATTGCACCATGATTGTGAGCAGTGTGTTACCAGCCAGTTACCAGGGGCAGGGATGGAGTCAGTGGTGAGGGAGTGGAGTTTGGCTGCCAGCCTGGATTGACATTTAGCATTGTGTATTTAAATATGATCTACACCCCTTTTCAAGCAGGAACGGACTTGGCAGCAGAACTAAGTTGTGAACCAACTATCAGCTTTATTGAGACAAAGTGTGGAGAAGTTTATCTGCTTTGAAGCAAACTACAGTGACAAACTCAAACAGCTATTTCCAGTTGAATGCGGGTTATACTGCTTATGTCAATAACTAGGCAGTAGAGCAGTGAAACAACTTATTGTAGCTTTTGCAGCCTCGGTCTTCAAACTTTTTCCTCTGTCTTGGGCTTTTATCTTCTGATTCTCGTTGCTTTCCATTGCACAGATCTTTCTTGAGAATCTCTTTTATCCTTGTTCTTCTTTGATTAACCTCCCTCTCTGCCCGATCACAGTTCATATGAACAACACTCACCTCACTTAACCACGTGATGTTCTTCATATTCATAATTATTCTCTTTACATCTTACCTGAGGACTGCTATACCTGTATTTATAACACTTA